AAAGCAATGTGCAAGTTTCTACTTGCACACTTAAAAACTATGAGGAAGCAATGTGCAAGTTTCTACTTGCACACTTTTTTTTCTTCTTCTAGATAAATTCGATGAAAAAAGCGAAATTGTTTTACATAATTCTGGATTTAGCACTTACTACGTGATTTGACTCTTGTCCATAGATGGTTTGCCTAGAATCAGATACGTTCAATGGCAAATTCTTGTTCCATTGTTTATTGTAATGATCTGTCACGTAACTTCGATTATTGCTCATTCTCTTCTCTATAATCGGCCAGAGCACGTTAATCAGTTGATCGCTGATTTCCTGCAATTGTGCCTCAGGTAGCTGCTCGTTCAATTTTCCGTCTTTCAAATCATCGATAAGAGAACTGTTAGATTCTAGCAGATTATCGACGTAAGTCATTTGATTTTCAATCGATCGATTTACCCCGTCATTAGCAGTGGGATTATCTTGAAGTTTCCTTACTTTTTCCAGATCAGATTTTATAACGTTGTTCACATTTTCAGAATCTTGTGCGCCGCTCGAACTCTCGGCTTGTTCCATAATTGTGACTAATGTGAATCTGTTGGATTCTAATTGATTAGGGGATATTGACGTCGCAACGTCTGTCAATTCACTTTTCTTACTTTTTTGAGACAAGTTTTCCGAAACCGGATTTAATTGCTCGTCACTGTAATCCGTTCTTGTCTCGTTCATCTTCTGAAATCCTTCGGCTTTTATTTCTTCATCAATCTGATCTAGAAGTTGATCCTTTTTCTCATGATCTTTCATTGACTGTTTCTCATCGATAAAACTACTGGCGTTGTCATTTGTCTGAATGGAAGAAAGATTGGTTTCAGTCTTGCTATTGTTGTTCTCGTATTTATTAAAATCTGTGAGCAATCTGAGGAGTGGAATAGAAGAATCTTTTAATAATGTGGGTGAATGTTGCTTATTATTGCTCTCGGCTGTTGAATTATCATCGTTTATCGGCAAACTGTTAGCTGTTGTTTCTTGATTATTCCGTCCAGATGCATTAGCTGCTTCATGAATATTACTTTCCGTATTGCTTGATAAGTCTTCTCGATTATGCAACGGATCTTTAAATTGGTTTCCTGTTTGTTCAGCGGTTTTATTTTGCTCCTGTTGAACTTTTAACGACTTGTTAGCAGTATCCCGGGTTTGCAGAATAACTTGATTTAGTAAGTTACTCGCGCCTTTTGCAGCCTCTGGCAAAACTTTAATCACCGATTCCACGATGTTTTTCGTGTCTGATAAAATCTGGTTCGCCACAGACAAATTATTTGCAGTTTGCGGATAAAGAATACTTTCGGAATTTTTAATTATAATTGGATCGAAAAATCTCTGGCTTATATCGTCGATCTTATCCGACGGCTCTCGTGTATGTTGTGTATTTTGTAGAGGAATATATTGATTCACGTTTTCGCGTATATTACTAATAATTTTCGGAACAACTTGTGCTAAATCTGCGCCGAATAATCGTTGACTTACACCGGACGTTGACTCCTGCATATTTTGCAATTTCGGAAAAAACTTATTTACAGTTTTAGTTAAGTCATTTATGGCCGATATATTCAAAATGTTTTTTACTGAATCGATTTGACCAAGTAATTTTTCGTTGACATTATTTTCCGCTAATTTCCGAAAATTCGCTCTAAACTTATTTGCATTGAGCGAGTTGCTTGCTGTATCTAAATCGAGAATCGATTTTTGCAAATTGTCCGAATTAAGTGCTTCATGATCATGCCTGGTAATATTAGATAAAATGTTTTGGACATCTTGTGCAGAATTTGGAATTAAATTGCTCATCTGTGAATTTAGATTGCGTACAATATTTTGATCGTCGATATTTGAAAGATTACTAGGATTAAACAACTCTTGTAATTGCTGGTAGAAAGTTGTTTGATTTTGATCTGCATTTATTTCAAAATTATCGGAAGACGAATAATTCAGTATTTTTTTACTCTTGTCAAGCCATTCTATATTCGATTGAGTTGTGAGAGCTTCTGTTGTTGTAATTAGTGGATTGTCGTTGCGTCTATTACAATCATATTTTTTGTCAGTTTCCTCTCTCAAATGCGTTAAACGATTGGCTGCTTGCACTGCCAATTGTAAAAAAAGCTTCAAAATCCTCTCATTTTGGGCAACTGGATCTTTTATATCATTACGCAAAGTATTCCAATCAGTATTTGGCGGCAAAGAATGTACCTAATAAGAAAAAAAGAATTAATTGCAAGACATTTATATAAAATATAACGTGGCTATATAAAACTATTAATAATTGTTACTACTTTATTTCTTTATTAAATTGTATTAAATCAAGCAAGTACATGGTTGATTTAAAAATGGCAAGAACAAAGGAGGAAGATACATGTTACCTCTTTGAAAGTTTCAGAAAATCTGCATCGTCGTCTCTTGTTCTTTGCCGTTTTGATTATAACTATTTTCACTTTTTTTTTTATTTTTTACATTAAATTTAAAGAAGATATCCAACGACTTGACACGAAGAAACACTACAATTTAACAATGTAATTTTTAATTTATTTAATTTAATTTATTAAAGTAAAAGATGCTCTCTCGATTATCAACTTTGAAAGAAAATGTTAAAAAGAGAAATTTGAAGAAAAGGTTTCAAACAATTTATTTAAATTTATTACCAAAAAAATCAACGCGTTAATAACGATTAAAATAGAACTGCCCGGCCACATTTTACCATTTGCCCCGACGATCTAAACGCAACTGCTTTAAATATGGCCGTAAAATTAACATTAGGCATTAACATTTGGCATTTTGATGTCGGATTTTAATGACTGTTGTCATCATATCACATTTTCATCTACGTTCTATATTGAATTTAATGTTGAGATTTGTTGTTTATTATTTGTCTTATTTACAGCCGTTTCTTTCTTTTATCTGCACATTACAGATAATTATTAATTAAAAAGACATCGAACAGTTCTTTTTGTGTATAATATAGTAACTAGACAAGAACATAAGATAATCTGAAGGACGATTCTCGAACATTATTATGAGAAACAAAATTAGTCAGTCAATAAAAACTCTTTATCGCTGTATAAGGATCTTGGTATATATATATATATATATATATATATATATATATATAACTATTATTATTTAAAAGTATCTTAAGACTTCAACGTTTGCATTGTTTTGTTCTATATATTGGTGTAATTGCGATCTAATTTACATAATAAAATTAAATAATAAATAATACAATCAATGTAAAATCTATATTATTTAACCAGAATTAAATATGTTGGAATAATTGCCACATACTGCTAACTTTATATGCAGAAGAAGTTATCAATTTTAATTAAGAAGTTAATGCCTCAACAATGTTCGAATACTTCCGATAACGTGTCGCGATCAATCAACCGGCCGTCTGTTTTTCATCGATCATTAATTGCGCGAACGAGCATCGAAATGAGCGGAAAGGATTTAATAATTACGTTAACGTCACGTTATGGCAACTGATGTATTTTCTGCTCAATTACACGTACAAGTATGCAATCGGGCTGACCTGATTTCTGCGTATCGCAACTGCTGCACTTATTGATAAATGATATTGTGTAACAGTAAGAAGTTTTTTTGGAGGAAGAAACGACATGGGTATAAACTTCATATTGTATCTAATTGTAATTGATTGTTAAAAATGTCTCTTATTGAAAAAAAAAGTTTATTATGCAACACATCTGTTTTAGATGATTTTTTTCATATTTTTAAGGTTGAAGAGTCGCCAAGAAGCCCACGCAGGTTTCTTCAGTGGGCAAACATTGTCCGAAAGCTTCTAGTAATAGCGGTTCCTCCTTGATCGCCGTCTCGTAATCCCGAAAGGATATTTTCCCATCGTGATCGACATCGAGTTTCTTCAGCGCCAGCTCCGACAAATCTTTCACTCCTTCGTCCGGATCTTCCTCACCGGGCTGCTTTATCAGGCAATTTCTACAAAAATTACGAAAATACTTTTTACGACTATCAAGTAAAACGGACAAAAATCTACGTCAGAGAGACTGTAATAGAATTTTAATCGCCTTTTACTTGAGTAACTGAAAGATTTCGTCCTTTGTAATATATCCATCGTTGTTTAGATCGTACACGTGAAAGCAGAAAACGATCTTGTCGTGCAGGCTACCCCGCAGGAACACGTCGAGTCCCATGATCCACGGCTCGAGTCTGATAGCACCCTCGATCTCTCGATCCCAACAACTAAACAAACGCTCCACCAGGGCGTCCTCCGTGATCACGTGAAACGTGTTGTGAAGGAGTTCACGAAAAATAGTCCTGTCGATTCCCTGAGCAATGTAAGTTTGAAATAATTTTTAAGTGTAATCTCTGTATCAATTAATTAATAATCTGTATGCTTTTTTTTTATTTTGTTTGAACACAAGGGTAGTCAACTTTCAATTGCGTGTCGCATAATACCTCGACAGCCGGCCTCGATTGTGGTCTTCTGCCGACAGATATCGATCGTTCAACTTGTTGTTGGCTGGAATTGGTGGTTAACTTTTTGTAAAGTTTGCAGAGATTATCCAGTTCCACCCTGTAGATAAAAGCAAATCAAACACTGGATTAAATTAATTCTCGATTTATGTACATTTATGCTACTAAACTAATATAATTCACACAGCATAACTCTTGCTTTTCATTTTTATAAATCGTGTAATTTTATTAATTTTTTGTTCTATCGGTTCAAGTCCATTTAAATAATTCCATTTGTCCTTCCTTGTCAAGAATGATAAAATAAAGCACTAGAAAAATTAATTCGAGAGTCATCGCGATTTATCGACGCGTTCTCTCAAACTCGCCTGGAGAATCTTGTCTTTTTTTTAAGGGATTCGATCACTTTGACGATATACGCGGAGTTCCTGGCGCCTCCGCCCTCCGGCATCTTTCTGCGACGTCTCGTTTTCGACAACTCGTCCTTGCCGGAAGCAGCGGCGATCTGCCGCTTGGAATTCGTTGACGCTTTACGACCGCTTGTCAGGAATATAGAAACGCTCTTCATGAGCGTCGTGCCGCCACGAACGCTTATGCCCATCCGACGCTCGGCGTCGGCGCCGGCCCCGGCGCTGACGCCCGACTTTGCCCCCCCAATCGGCGTGACGCTCGAGGTGACGCTTCGTTGCTCAGACATTTCTGTTTAGACTGAAAAATTTGAATTGAAAATTTAATTTAAGCAATACTGAATCATATGTGGAAATACAAGATTTTGTATTAACGCATGTAAAGAATAAAATACAACGTTTGAAAATAGTAAAAAAAATTAGATAAACATAATATATTGAGTTGCAAATGGGAAGTGAGAAGCAGCTGATATGAAAATACATAGAAACTCTGAGCGAAGGTAGATAAAGTTGAACAAATATGTATATTAAATGGAGCTATTACAATTGCAATAAAAATATAAATTTGCTTAATACAAATAGGAATTTAAGAAATGTATTAAAATAGAATGTCCTGTTACCATGGACCGATATAGGCATTCGAGTCGATTGATCAATAAGGAATAATTCACGGAGGCGGGGATGCAATGGCCCTTTTTTATAGGCGAAAATTGTAAACAGCCAATCGTTGCTCGTCAAAAGATTGCTTGTTCTCTCGTGCAACCGAATTATTATTATTTACGATCACATTTGCGTAATTTCCTTGTAACGTTTGTCGGTCCGTTGTCCTCGCAGGCATTTTCGTGGTACGAGTAATGTTCCAATGAATTTAAATCGTACATTTATGCGCGCGTAACTCGGGCTGAAAAAGAATGCAATTTGCATAGAAAGGAAAGGAGATTTATAATACAAAGCGCGCAATAACGAGCTTGCACCAACTTGCATTTCGCATTATAAATAGTGCAACAACTTAAATGTTATACTTAATTATTACATGTTATACTTATTAGTATTGTGCTATCTATCACTGTATACATTGAGACAATGTTATAAAGTTCATGTCTCACAGTCGTTTTGCAAGATGAAATGTAAAAACTTTTCCCATTAAGCAACGAATACAACTCGCTTTATAAATTGTGTCTGGAACAAATCAGCTTGTGCATTATTTAAGATTTGTATGATCTGAACACGCAGTGACAAGTAAAATGCGAAAAATCGAGACAACTCTTTAAAGCACACTTTTATTCGCGCATAATTATTTTGACAATTTTAATTTATAGTGATGTAATTAATTAAGAAGCAATATAACTTCAAAGTTTTGCATTTTCAAACGTAAATGATTAATTATTTTGGCCGGAAAAGAAAATAAAACCATTTTTAACAATCTATAACAACACATCTTTAAACCAATTCTAAAACTATCTAAATCACTTTTAAACGTGAGATCTATTTATGCGGACGATAATAAAGCAAAATATAAAATACGGTTTTTTAAGAGAACCATTACTTTAAATAATGCATGTCTTATCTTCGAATAATCATTCTTAACAACGTGCCTCGAAAATCGCTTCCATAAATGCAAGAGGGCAATCATATAGCATGAGAAATTGTAATTTGGAGAAAGTGTGATATTAATCTCGTGTAAAATCCCTTCTACTTCATCGTATTATTCACCTTTGTTCCATCACTTTTACATATATCTTTCACTTTTTATATAAAAATATTTCGTTGAAGATAGGATTACGATAAATTATTCTACATCTAATTTTTGCCTATTTTTATTATATGCATGAATTTAATAGAATAATTTTGCCAATAAATGCATGCAATTTCATGAAGATTCAAACTGATACAAAATGATACCTACGGTAATACCTGAAATTAGATCGTGCTACGATAATGATCGACACGTGTGTGCCCGTGCCTACGGAATCTCAATTTAACTTCTCTAATTTGTAACTCACGATTGACGTAGCGTGCATATGAGTCTTGCTTTAATCTACATACATTGATTAAAACAATCCATCTAGTAATTATCGACATAACATCAACAGATTTCTCAGATTTTATAGAATTTTGTAAGATTTTAATAATTTTATTTATCTGAAAAAATGTTATGTCATATCCAGACGTTTTTTCGATTTTATTATCTTTGGATTATATATATTAATTACAAATAAATATTAATTGTAATTAATATCTATAACTAAAATGATGATTCATAACATTATCAAGCTAACTGAGCCTGAAAAATATAATTTACGATTATAAGCATAATAGTAATGAAAAATAATTGTCAATAACAATTGCAAACTTGACTATTTAAAAGAAATATTATTATTAAAAGAATTATACCAAAGTGCACTGTGCAATCGCAGACACGGAAGTGACTCGGAAGCTACTTTTGATCGCTGTTATTTATCGTACGAAAATGGTTTGAAATGTTGAAACTTAATAGAAGATTACTTCAACGAAATTCACTGCTTCCTCTTCGTTCCAAATGCATTACGATTGGCAAGTTCAATTAAATCAGGAAAAAAACTTACCAATTAATGACAAAGAAGTGCTTCGTCGCGACAAGGGTTTCGTCGTCAGCGGCGACTACGTTTTATCGACCAAACGTATCAAATGGCGAAGCTGAAAACACTTTAACGCGATATCTAGCAACAGGATATCTAGCAACTTCGGTATATCGCAAATGTATAAATATTTCGTGCGTAGTAATAAGACGAATCACTGCAATAAAATTTAGATATTAAACAAAATTGTGACGTATGTGTATGTATGTGACAACATATATGTTGCTTAGAATTTTATTATAATTGCTTACTCGTTTTGTTTATATTATTTATTAGTTTATTAATTATAATCTAAATATAATGTAATAATTCATAATTAAACAGAAATATGACTTAGCGTATTATTAAGATACCATCACGGTTAGATATTTCACAATTTTCGAGAATATTATAGAAGATATATATCATGTGTTTTAAATTATTAAAATTTAATAATTTGTATATTAGAATATTAGAATATATTGATACATATTAAGTATTTTTTTAGATTGTTTGCTTCGTAGAATCGCTACTTTGGCTGATCAATAGAGGAAGTGTCATCATCGGGATTTACTACTTCTAAAATGGCCGTCGACGTCGGATGATGTTTTCTGAAATGCCGAAATTAATCCTTAATTGGTTAGTAGACGTTAATAACGCAGCTTGCATTTCTTATAATAGTTTTTGCAACTCTCTTACTTGCATAACTTGTCTAAATATTTTCGAATTTGCACCATTTGACGTTGAATATCAATTAGCGTACTAGTCATCCGTTTTTCCGTTGCGAAAGACGCGGCTCTTTTGTACCCCTCGGCGGCCCGTTCTGCAATTAATTTTAAGATATTAACTAATTTTTTATAGTTCCTGTAAGATACTTACTTGTGTATTAATTTCTGTATACCTTATATCTTATTTAAATATTCAGACTTATTAATGCTTAATAATATTCTTTGACGTCAGAGCGTATTTTGAGTCAATTAAGATTCTCGATTACTTACTGATTCGAATGTGCTCGTCAGTAATCTCCCCATCCTGATAGACAATATCAATCTCCTTCATTGTATTAATTAGATCTTCCACATTATTTACATTATTATTTACGTTCTTTATCGTCGGATTGTCACTTGGTGCCTGCAAGATAGCGCTTGTATCGTTGTCAAACTTAGCGTGCACATTTCTTACCTTTGACTGCTCTTTGACAAGTTGTTCAATAAGCGAGCTTAGCTGATTTAGAAATTGTATCTAAAATGCGACATTTATATTCAGTCAAAACGTAACAACAAAACTGTACTAATAGATCGCGTATTATTTAACAACATAAAATATTGTTTAAGTTTAAGTTATGTTACAGCATATTATCCGACCTCTCGTTTATTGTTATCCTTATTTTTGCTCATTTTTATGGAAAAGTTTATGAGCTTCTCAAAATTTTCTTCATACAATGCAATTAGCTCTTTTAGTTGCTCCGGCGTGTTTACGGAAATTTTCTCGCCTGCTAAATTCAAAGAGTCAACGTAATACAGTATTCTCTATCCGCTTCAATAATGATCGTTGTGAGTGAGTGTTTAATTTCTAATATATGACGCGAACATGAAACATGCAAATCCTACCTGTGTCCCTCACGTTCGAAAGCGTGACCGAGCGGCATTGTGCCTGAAAGCAAAGTTTTTATTCCATCATATTTACATATCGCACCCCGAGAAGAATATATCACATATCACATAACTAAAAAGAATACTGTCAAAACTAAAAAAATTTTGATTTTAAAATTTTGATTTTTTAGTGGCTTAATCTATAAAAAGTATATGCCTAAGGTGTTCCCTACATACTATAATAATGTTACAAGTCTATATGCAAAATTCGTCGCACGGGAGCAGAAGAGTCGTTATTCTTTTAAACCGCGGATGAAGTTGCGGTCGCTAGATGAATAGTATCATAAGTTAATTGACGAGTGAATCAGAGCAGACGTTTTACAAAAAAACAGTATAAGTTTTATTAAAACAAAATGTCGCGTAATTGCAATTGCGTTAGTTATCTCATAATTCAGAAAAATTGAATTAAATTTATTTTTCCGGTAAAGAATCGTGTCGCCAGTTTTTGTTAAAATGCAATTAATACATTTTTCAATATAACAGGATTAAATTGTATAATGGTAAAAGGTCTTATGCCTGTTATTACTAGTTCCTAAGATACAATGGTAATTTAAAAAAGTCGTATTAAAATTTTTTATAGTGCCTTAATTTTGGTTGGGTACAGCATGTTATTGGCAATTGTATTATTAAACATTCAGTCAGTATAATTACTTTATTAAAAACAATAAATCAAATTGTTACTTTTATTTTATATCTAAAAAATACACCATTTCCCTGTTCAAAACCCCCCTTTAAACATTGTTTTCTCTGAATTCATAATAATGAAGATACGATTCGTTCCCTTTAAAGTACAGATGTGTACATACAATATGCATTTAACATAACAAAATTGTGATATATTATAACAAATTTACATGCGATATTCACGCGTATAATACAAGTGGGTTTTAATTTTCAGGCAAAAATCCGAAGAGACACACTTTCGGGAAACCATAATTTCAGAAACTTACCCCAACCGCGAAGACGACAAATATAATTATGAAGAACTTCATCTTCATATTCCGGTTTCTCATGGAACCTTCTCGCTTCGTTAAGTGAAACTCTAATAAGATCGTTTAATGTACAAAGCCGTTTTATAGACATCGTGTGCGAACAAAGGCACTTGCGTATGCGACGTTCTTCAAAACATTTGACGGAAACATCCGGCGAGAAATAAACGACGATCGATGTATCAAACGCGTGAAGTCATGCGGATGAATAGATGGGCGCGATTATTCTGTACAGTTAGACATAATTGCATTTTATATTATCGGGAGCAATAGTATCTTTATTGTTGTTTAAATATTAATTACGTAGAATATTAATATTTTCCCAATAGAAAATAATCATACACTTGGCGCTGGGTCGTATTAACTATTTTAATGTTTCCTACAAATAGATATATTTGTACTTTGTAGCATATATGTCACATGAGTAGAAGTACCAAGTGCTTTTGTGTGAATCTTAATAATTTTCTTTTTTTCTAAATACCTTGCTTGTATGTTTGGAACAGGTATATAACAAGTATAATAAAGAAACTGCATGATTAAGAAAATCGGATGTTATACTAATTCATCACAATACTTCTTTAAAAATGTTCTAAAATCCGTTGAATATTTTAAAATTTCTTTACTTACATATATTCTATATATTTATTTATAATATATACATGTTATCTTTTTAAAGAAAAACACACGTAAACCAAAAATAATTTTGAAAAAGTATAATTTTGTAAGAAAACGTTTCATAAATTAAAATAATTATAATTTTTACTGTCTGTTTACCTGACTTCGCTGTTTTAAATTATTATGTATAAACATTGCGTATATGTCTTAGCATAAGTTTAAATTCTTGGTTCACCATCCCCTTTGTTGCTGGTATTTCAGATAAATTTAAAAGCGTTATTAGAAATGTAAAATCTAATCTTTCCTTTTTTAGTCTTAATAAACTAACTAATTTTATTAGAGTACAAAAAGAACCCCTCCCATTACAATCGAATAACAATGTTGTTTATAAGATTTACAGTAAAGCGATGCTTCGTACGTGAGACAAACTAAAAAATAGTTGCATACTAAAATTTCTGAACACCGAAATCACATTCGTTGGAATACGAATACACATTCTGCGTCATTACGAAACATATATTAAATTTTGATCATGAGTTCGATTGGGAGAATGTCGCAGTTTTTGACAGAGAAAAATACGTATCTAAAAGACTCGTTTCAAAAATGATTTACATCAAATTGCAAAATAATAGCCTTAATTTACAAAAGGATACGGAATTCCTACATCATGCATACAGTCAGTCAAGTAAGAGCGTGATCGGGCTAATTTATAGAAAAATTGAGTTAGCAAAATTTTGAAATACATAGATACATTCTAATTGATTAGAGCTAAGATGCAATTACATTAATAATATGTCCAGTCACCATCATCGTCGATAATTGACTGACATCTCCGAGGCATATTTAGTCCTATTCGTGCAGCAAGGATCTCCATATCCGACGAATTTCTCAAGATAATTGCTTTAAACTGAATATTTGTTTTATGCTTAATATATGCCCAAACATTTTCGATCGGATTTGCATCGGGCAATTGTGACGGCCAATCAAATTGATTGATGCCAGATTGCTCCTTTCACTCAGTACAGAGTCTGCTCCGGTGTTTCGGATCATTATCCTCCTACAGGATCCAATCTTCATTTTTTTTTTTTTTTTTTTTTTTTTACATAAACCACGAGTTGGCAGATAGTAACAAGGCCTTTTTATAGATTTCCAACATTTTGTCCGCATTCAGATTGTGTGTAAACACGTAACACAGCTTCGAAGCGCGACGTGTACGCGGCACTCATGACGCCTATGCTTTGCTCTGGCAAAACTTTAACGACAACTGAGCTTTTCTTCGCAAAGCATCAAGGAAAAAAGTATCCTCTATCGACTTATATAATGTATACATTCCGATAAATAAACCATACTTCTCTTTGACTTCCGTGAGCAGTTTCTCAACACTTGTTGAGGCGAGTTTTGCACTACATTTAGTATCAAACATCCTGTATAGAACGGTTGTAATGAATTTACCGAGACAAGCAGAACGCAGTGAGTTATAGTTATGGGATTATTTCGATCGATTAGAACATTTGCTAATAAAGTGCAAGGAATGTGAGAAAGAAATTCCGGTATCTCATATAAATAGCATCCCCAGTAAAACAGGAACGTGGAATCCACGTTTCTTTCATGTGGACCAGCGACGTAGAATTCACGTAGACAATCGAGTGGATCATCCGCTTAAAAACGGTAGTCGGATCCACGTGGATGAGATCATCGATTCGACGTGGAATTTACGTGAAAGTTTCACGTCTTAATATTTTGGCGAGTACTGGGCAGTACTGGATTACTGGTAGTAATTTATTACACAGAGACTACTGGTGCATAGTATTGAATTATACTCACCCCAAAAAAATCTCTTAATACTAGAGGACACTGATTTCCGATATTCACCCGGCATAAAAAAATTATTTTTAGCGAAATTTTATTACTATTTTATAACTAAATTTGTTTTTTAAGATGCAGTCTATGATTATAAATATTTTCTCGAATTTAAAAACACATATAAAAACACACTTACCTTGGTGGGATTCGAACTCGGGACCTCATCTGGATCGTGAGCCAACTGCCTTACGTGGTAGACTACTTCTTAATTTGATGTAAGTGTTATATATAGTCTACATATGTCATAACCAGCGCAAATATATAATTTTTTAAAAATCATCTTAAGAAACAAATTCAGTTTAAAAACTGATTATTATTATAACACATAACTTTTGTATTTTTACGACATAATAAAATTTTTTACTATCATTTTCATTATTCATAATTATTCATTAAAACGTTCCATTTAGCTATATTAATTGCGATTGACAACATCAATGTCTCCTGAGATTGATAAATTATCTGTCAGTAGAACAGTGAAAATATCTACGCAAAATCTACATTGATACTACGCGGATGAGATACTTTGATTTTATCGATGGAAAAGAAACGTTGAATCCACGCGGATAAGATATTATACTTCGATTTTGGCGATGGAAAAGAAACGTTGAATTTACGCGGATAAGGTACTTCGATTTTGGCGATGGAAAAGAAACGTTGAATCCACGCGGATAAGGTATTTCAATTTTGGCGATGGATAAGAAACGTTGAATCCATGCGAATAAGGTTCTTCGATTTTGACGATGAAAAAGAAACGTTGAATCTACGTGGATAACTCGTGGATGAATCTCCATCCACGTATTACGTAGATTCGACGCAGATGCGACGTACCTGTTTTACTGGGGATGAAAAGAACATTAAGAACATTAAGAACATTAAGCACTTAAGTAGACATAAAATTTTTTCTGATAAAGTCTACACACTACCTGACAAGCTACGACACTATTACATGGAGTTACCAGAACTTAAGGCAAAATGTAATAAATGTGGCAAAATAATATCCTATTTATCGAACAATTTGTCTTTAAAACAACATTTAAAAAGAACAACATGAGTAAGTATACACATTCAACAACTTACTAAAATATTAAGAGTTATAAAATAAATGTAATAATAAAACAATCAACATTGCAGCTAAAAACAATTTAGCAAAAAAAAAACTTTTATAATGGCATCCATGTAACAGTTATTTGTTATTTGCAATTTTGATCATAAATGTATTTATCCTATCGTAATAATAATAATCTTTATATTATTTTTCATATAATTTGAACAAATTTAATCGTGTATATCACGTTCTCTTATTATTTATACGTATTCAATTCTTAAAAAAAGAACATAAGTTAAAAAATATAAT